GTTTTTATTGCGAATTATGTGTAGTTTACATGGGTGTTTCTTCTTATTTTGAATCATGTTCCATTACCAAATGAAGGAACTAAAAGTTTTGCTCCATGTAAATCACAAAAGTCAGCTCTACTTTGAGAAGGTAGTTCTTGCCCAGTTGTATTTTCAGTGCCTTTCAATCTGAGGGGCTCATCTTCTGACCCCGTGTCAGACAAGGCTCCACTGCCATTCATAAGGTTCTTGGTGGCTAACCATTCAGAAGTGGTTTGCCCCTCTTTCCTAGTCTTAGTCTGGAAGCTCCATTGAAGACACCTGTCCACCTTGAGTGGTGGCTCTGCTGGTATTTGAAATACTGGTGGCATAGCTTCTAGTATCACAGCAACATGCAAGCCACCACAACATGACAAACTCACACATGAATGGTGGGAACAAGGTCTGTAAATCCTGATGATAGTCATACACTGTTGTTCCAATTTTTATTTCCTTCATTTGGGACCAGGGAAGAGTACAGATAGGGACAGTGTAAGATTTACTAGAGAACGAGTTTTGGGAGGGGTGAATCTTAAAGAATCCACACACTCCAAGTCTGTTCTGGCTTTGGATCTCCAGTGGTGACCAATAGGGTAGGATTGGTGGGAGGAGCCAGATTGGGAAGGGAGTTCTCATGCACCCCAACAAAGAGTTTAGATTTAAAAAAATAAGACATATTGTTGCCAAATAGTATGCTGTATGACTGCTACCTTATTGTTATTATTGTTACTAGCTACTTGACCCTCAACTCTGAGTGACCCCATGCCCAATAGGATTGGGTTGTTCCTACCCATAGAGATTGCATCGGTCAGTTTTTGGAAGTAGACTGCTAGGCCGCCTTAGCCTGGAAATTTATCTGAAACCTGTTCAGTATCATGTTGTTGTTGTTAAGTGCTGTCGAGTCAGTTCTGACTCAGCAATCCTATTTCTGAGGAACAGCTGGTGGGTTTGAACCACCGGCCTTGTGGTTGACATTCCAGTGATTATCCTACACTGACACCCCAGGAACTCATTCAGCATCCTAGGAACATGAAGACCTCCACTGACAAACAAAAGAGCAATGGCTGAGCATCAAACGTGGGTCTCCTGCATGGAACGGGAAGATTGTTAGCACCGAACCACCATTGCTCCCACTGCTACCTTACTGTTGTTGTTGTTGTCAGGTGCCATTGGGTCAGTACTGACTCCTAGAGACCCTATGCACAACAGAATGAAACACTGTCAGGTTCTGGGCCAACCTCACAATTGTTACCACGCTTGAACCCACTGATGCTGCCACTTTGCTAATCCATCTCATTGGGGGTCTTCCTGTTTTTTTCTGACCCTCCACCTTACCAAACATGATATCCTTCTCCAGAGACTGATCCCTCATGACAATATGTCTGAACTATGAGAGATGAAGTTTGGCCATCCCGGCCTGAGCAAATAATCCGAGAGGCTGGATTATATGAAGAAAAATGTGGCATCAGGATTGGAGGAAGACTCATTAACAACCTGCGATATGCAAATGATGCAACTTTGCTTGCGGAAAGTGAAGGGGACTTAAAATACTTATTAATGAAGATCAAAGACCACAGCCTTCGGTATGGATTGCATCTCAATGTAAAGAAAACAAAAATCCTCACCACTGGACCAATAAACAACATTCTCATCAACAGAGAAAAAAATTGAAGTTGTCAAGGACTTCATTCTTCAACTATCAACACTCATGGAAGCAGCAGTTAAGAAATCAAAGGATGTGTTGCATTAGGCAAATCTGCTGTACAAGACCTTTTTAAAGTATTGAAGAGCTACTTACTTTACCAGTAATGAGTAAGATGAGTATGTGTTGGGTTGGAAACTACGTTTGGTGAAGGTGACATACCTGTAAAATGAACTCAAATATGGTAAAGTTAGTGCCATGACTTAGGGATACCAACAGAGCTTTGGGAAGGAAAGTCTCCGAGTGGGAGTAATATCTAATGATGAGAAGATGCTACCTCAGTGAAGAGGTGTACAGAAATATGTCACAGCAGGGACACAGCCTATGTGAATAGCTAAAACACATGATAGTGGAGAAGGAAGAACAAGAAATTCATGAAGACTGGATTACAAGTGGGAATTGGAGGACCAACTTCCCATACAAGGAAGACCTGTATGAAAAAACTCATTTTTCTGGAATTTGCTAACCATCCTTCTGGATTATTGCTGGTGTGACGCTGTGGGATAAAGCACTAGCCAGTTTGTGGAATATTGTAAGGTCAGTTTGAGCCATAAGGTTGGTGGTTCAAACTCACCAGCCGCTCCTTGGAAACCCTATACAGGGTCACTATGAGTTGGAACCTAATCAACTAGACGGCACTTAACAACAACGACAACAACATACTAATTATAGACTTCTGGTGTGGCGTTGGAGGATCAGCGCTAGACTGTAAGCCACAAGATCAGCAGTTGAAGCCCACCAGCTGCTCCTCGGAAATCCCATACAGGATTGTTAGGAGTTGGAACCGACTCAGAAGCACTTAACAACAACAATACTAAACACATTTTGGATTTTGGCTACATGCTGCTGAGGAAGGGAGAAAGTTGCAACTAAGGTAGTACTGGGTCAGTATTGAATATTGGCCCAATTTCCTCTCAGATTTATTTATTTGCTACACATTTAGTAGCATTATGGTCAGTTTTGTGCTTTGATGGTCAGCAAAACAGAACCAGTCCCCAGGAGCTGGCAGTCTTTTGCAGATTTTGAGCAAGTATGAACATGTGAGGCCAAAATGGAGACAGAGGGCAACAAATAAACCTTCAGGGCTAACCAAGTCCATGTGACATAGTTCCAAGGTCCCTCTGACCTCCTAAAAACAAACAAAACCCCAGTTTTTTCTTTTTATACACTGGCTGGATATTGTGATAAAATATTTTCAAACTGCCTGAAAGTCTACCAAAAGCTATGAACTTTTTTGCATTTCTTGTCCCATGATAACCGTGTTGGAGCAATATAAACACATCTGCTAAGGTTGAGGGCTATTGCATTCACTTTTTAGTATGAATTATCAGATTGATTTCTGATTTCAGAAGAACTCAAGGCTATTTTGGCAGGGAGGTTGAAATGAAGGTACAGAACACCCTGGGGTGCCTGCCACCCAAAAGGCCCTGATTAGTAGGGAATGGGTGGCCGACATCAAAAGCTATTTTCACCATGAAATGTGGTATAAGGTGGGCTTCCTGTTTTAACAAAGGAAAGACATTCCCCCTTTTGCAGTAACCAGGAGTCTGGCTAGCCCTATTAGAAAAATGGGGCGCCTATGCAAGGTTGGCGGTTCAAGCTCACCAGCTGCTCCTTGGAAACCCTACACAGGATCGCTATGGTTCGGAATCGACTGGACGGCACTTAACAACAAATAGAGGAGAGGTCACAAACTAGTGTTTTGTAGACTGACACAACCTACAGATGCACTGCTATTGTTTTGTTTTACCCTGTACAATTTTGTTTTCTTTTTAGTAGAATTGACCTTTAAAAATAGTTTTTCCAACTTTTCTTTTGAGGAAAAATTAGATGATCTGGCAATGATGGACCCTCATTTTCTATATCTGAAGATGAACGATTGTTTTTGTTGTTTTTAAGTGCCATCAAGTCGGTTCCTGAAAAGGGTTTCCAAGGAATGGCTGGTGAGCTTAAACTGCTGACTTTGCAGTCCAGCGCATTAACCTACCAGGCCACACCAGGACTCCAGAGGTGAGTGGTAGCTAGTCCTTTTGGAAGCACTCACACTTTTTGCAATTTCCCATAGTCCCCACCATTCCTCATGCTATTCCCCAACACTGAGAGCAAAGCTGTGTTAATAGAGCAATAAGATGATTGAGAAGCTTAGGATTTGTCACTCACTGATGTGACCTTTCTCATCCCTGGAACATTTGTGGGTCTGTGACCTCTGATTTAGAGGTCACACTTGGGTTTGAATCTTATTTCTGCGAATTCATAGTTGTATGGCCTTAGGAAATTAACCTCTCCATGCCAAACCAGTTTACTAATCTGTAAAATGGGCATAAGATCCGTATCAACGTCGAAGAGGTTGAATTAAATATTAAAAGAGATAATATATGCTTAGCACAGTTTTTTTTGGAACATAGCAGCTATTATCAGCATCCAGTAGCAGTGCAAGCCATAGAACAGCAGGCAGAAACCTTGCTACTTTAATTCTTTGTATTTCCCAGCCAGCACCTAGCCATCGTGCGTGGAACCAGTAGAAGGTGCGCAGTAACTCTTCACTACATGAATGAGCTCATCAAGGTTTTGCAGTCTAGCTGCGCAGGAAGGTAATTCTAGTAACAGCATCTCCCCGGGATCCTAAGGTGGCCCCGATGCCATGTGTGCCGCATTAAAGACAATCCTGCTAGGATGTGTCACACTGTGGCGGGTCTGGGCTGGTACCAGGATGCGATCCAGACCTGCAGTGTCCCTCGGGAGCTGGGCGGGGCTGGCTTGTCCAATCCCAGTTAGGGCGATGTCCACTATCTCTTCCAGGGACTAGTAAGAAGAGGCATCTAGATACCTGCCTGTTCCCAACGCCTTCGTCGTCAGATCAGCAAGGACAGAGACCCACCCCAGTAGGTCCTGCCTTCTCCTAGCCGCCTGGACCGTGACCACAATAGACATGGCCCCTCTCGGGCTTCACGCAGCAGGACAGCGCCCGGAGCTGCGAGTCATAGCTTCTGGCTGGAGAGGCCGCTCCATTCCCACAACTAACATGGCGGCCACGACGGCTTCAGCGCAGGGCGGGCGGTGCCGGGAGGCCGGTCACGTGAAAGACCCAGCTGGGCGGACCGCGCGCGCGTCGGGCCGCTCTATCGCTCTCTCGTTCGCTCGCTCGGCGGCACTCTGAGGTGTGCCGGGCGTCCAGTTCCCTGGCTCCGGTGAGGCGCGGCGCGGCGGGATGCGGCGACGGCCGTGGAGGGGCCGCGGGCCGGGCGGGCAGGCGCGGTGATGAGCGTCGGCGGCCGTCGCCATGTCCAAGGTA